CTAGACCTTAGGCTACTAAAGAGGAAAAACTAAACCTCAACCAAAAGTGAGGTCAACAAGGGACAGTTGTTCTAAACACCCCTTAGAGTGTTTTAATGCATCTAGACACTTTGGAAGGTTCTTTTATGAAGGGATATGTCTCTTGGATCAATGAATATATCTTTTAAATTCAAAAGAGTTAACTTTTGGATAGAATTTTGGAAGAAATTTTGAATTCTTTTTGGAGGGAGGCAGCTTTTTACAAAAGAGAGGGAAGTCTAGGGCTTGAAGAGGAGTTCTGAGGGTGGTTTGAGTGAGTGTGTGTGTGTGTGTGAGTGGCGTGAGAGTGAGAAGAGGAAAGGGAGAGAGAGAAAGTGAGAGAGAGAAAGTCTGGGGCTTGGAAATTTTCTTCAAGGATTGTAAGTGGAGAGTGAAGGTGAGAGATTTCTTCTTCATTACACTTCTAAGAGAGAATTGAGAGTGCTTGTAAAGAGGGAAAGTGCTTGAAGAGAACTTTTAGGGATTTGCTTGGGAAAGATTGTGAGATAAGTTGTGTTCTTTTATTTCTTTGTTTTGTAAACTTGTTTTTTTATATGAAATCTGTGTTTTGTTGTATCCTTCTCATAAATAATGAGTAGTCATCTTTATCCTTCTCCCTACTTTGAGATATGATTTTGTGAAGAATTGATTTTGTTTTATACGGTTTTAATATAAAAAATTTATGATGATTCAAACTTTGATCTTCATTTACTTATCGATTTGGCTAATTGAAAGTTTAAAATCTGTTGAGAAACATATGATCCGAATAGAATAAATAGAGAAATATACTATGTTGGATGCAAAATTGGAGATTTTAAGGTGATAGATTAAAACCCCCAATTTAGTCTAGTTGATTGGAAACTGATGCGAGATTGTTAGACCTTAGGAGAGGGAGTAGTGAGAGCTCTAGAGTGGTAGCTAGTATCCTCCCAGCCTAACCACAAAATTAGGGACCAAACTCTGGATTAGTCAATGTTCTTTATAGCACTTGGAAGAGGGTAAAGAATCAGATTTCTCCTATTCGACAAAAAACATTTTATATATATATATATTCAAATGATTTTAATTTCTTCATAATCCATATATTCATTCTAAAGGGGAAGGATGCTTTCTTAAATTTGAACTCTTCGTCATAAAAAATTGTTTAGTCTTAGTAAATTTAACTTTAAAGTTTAGAAATTAGTTTAGTAAACTTAGTTCTTTTAATTACATTTCTGTTAGTATTCATTAAAACTATTTTAACTTGTCTTTCTTACTTTAATTTTTATAGTTTGAATATTGTGATTTATGTTTCTACCATAAGAATTTTCATCTTATAAACTAAGACTTGATAGTAATATATTAGAATTAGCCTAAGAGATTTCTTATTGCGCTTCTCTGTGGGATCGATACTGGGGTTTTTAAAGAAAGTCTTATATTACTTGAAGCGATATGTGCACTTGCGTAGAACTCCTAGTGTGTGAACTATTTTATATATTTTATATAATATTTCTATTTTGCACATTAAATAGTTTATATAAATTTGGTCAAGATTTTGGCCATAATTTTTAAAGCTAAAATACTGCGTAATTTCTGGACTGGTCAAGTTTTTCGCACTGTTACCGAGGATTTAAATTGACATAAAATGCGTTTTTGGCACTGTTACTGAGGATTTAAATTGACATAATATGCGCAGAAAAACAACACACTAGGGGCGCATCAACATCTAAGCACCAGAGGGGCCAATCATTTCTTTCATCTGGCGCTCCATCGACTCAGAAGAAAGTTAGCCCCTCGACTGCTCCTGCTAGGAGTTCCCAAGGAAGTCAATCGATCCCCATAGAATCTAGTTGGCAACATGGGGTACCATGATTGGTTCTAGAGGTGCAGCCTTGACCATTGGGGCAAAATCAGTGACGACGAGGGGCGACCCACTATAAATATGGGTCTCTAGAACAATCGGCTCATCTTTATCAAGATGATGTAAAAAGATTATTAAGATGTTTTTTTTTCAAAAGAAATACATTTTCCTACCCAAAATCTTATTTATATTAGAGGTATTCATCGACTCTTCCACTCCTAGAAGCAAAACTTCTCCATTCTTACTTAGTATCAAAGGAAGGGAAAAACTAGCGGGTGACTTTCCTTTGACCCCACTTGGCCCCCCTTAGCGAGAGGGCTAGCCCGCCCACTTTCTCCAGCAGCTACATCAACACTTGAACCGAACGTCAAGCCACGGTCAGCCGTCAATGTCTTCTTTGATGACCGAGCGTCAAGATTGTTTGAAGAACTGACTTAAACGACCCACTCAAGTTCGTGTGTCGCTCACTCCTTCTTCATAACAACTTTTCTCATTTTCTTTTCAATCGTAAAAGGTACAAAAAGTCTAAAACATTCTAAAGCTGGGAGATGAACATCCATTTTCTTCTTACGCAAACCCTCAGCCATGATGGTAATCGAAATGCGTGAAGACAAAGTGAATAAAATGAAATAATTCCAACTTTACACCGTTATTTATACGGTTTACTCGGTACAAATAGGGCTGTAAACGAGCCAAGCTCAAGCAATAGAGCGAGCTCATGCTTGGCTCGTGTTCGACTCATTCAAAATTGGTTCGAGCTCATGCTTGGCTCGTGTTCGACTCATTCAAAATCGATTCGTGTTGTTCGACTCATTCAAAATTGGTTCGTGAACAGTGTGTTCGTGTTTGACTTGATTTAAATATTTATGTTCGTGTTCGGCTCGTGTTACGCTTGAAATTGGATTGTTAAAATTAAATTGAAAAAATTAGATGTAGAGTGTTGAATTCGAACCTGGACCAAATGCATGCAGAAGAAGAAACGTAACCACATTATCACATGAACTATTACAATTTAAACTTAGATTCAAATATATATAATAATTATCATATAAATAAAATATGTAATATATTATTATATAAATAATTATATATATATTTTTATTTCTAGCTAAAACGAGCCAAACACGAACAAACAAAGAGCTGTTCATATTCGACTCGTTTATAAATCGAGCTTTAAAAACTAGTTCGTGTTCGGCTTATTTACTTAACGATTCAAATTTGAGCTAATGAACGAGCTGAACACGAGCTGTTCGCAAACAACTAGCTTTTTTGACAACCTTAGGTACAAAAAACAAAGAAACATATTTTATCAAATTATTTTTCTCGATTCTTGTGTTATTTATTGCTTATTAACTTTACTATCCTTATCATAGCAGCTGTTATAAAAAAGTAGGATAATCAGAAACTAATATGCCTATTATAGAAATGCTAGCACGATTCTCGAAGCGATCGAGTTGTCAAGAATTTGGGGCATACATTGGACGACATATTATAGAATCCATCAACAAAGTCGCAGAATGATTCGTGGTGCGACGAACGACGTGATCAACCAGAAGTTGACTCTCATTATCAATATCATGCAATTTGAATAGGAATCATTAAGATGATTATCGAAACTATCCTTTCCATACATGTACTTGTATTCTAAAATCCTGGTATCAATAAAAGGACTTCTGAACTGTTAGACTTTTGGAATCTATTGTTTTGGATCCTTGTGGTTTCTGACACTTGAATATTCTCTTGCATTTCTCTCTCTCTTCTCTCCTCTCAGCTCTAACTCTAGGGGCATGTTCACAAGAGAACAATATCAGATTCAACATGCGATGAGAGTGTCATGACAATTAAAAATAATGGGGGAGGTAAATAAAACTAATGAGAAGAATATATTATAAAAATATCTATTTAATAGTAGATTCATGAGTATTTCTTTTGTATTTTTTGTTGAATAAAAATGAGCATCGCTTTTCAATTTTTTTTTTTTTCGGAAAAATTTTGAATGATTTGATTAAAAAAGAAGATTCATACCTACGGAGGAATTCTGCGAGCTCTAACGGCAATCTTTGAAGGGAAACGTCATACGTGCGAGTCTTCGAAAAGGCGCACTTATCCCCAGCTATTTAGGTACTGCCCGTCTTCTCCATCCTCCACATTCTCTCTCTCTCTCCACATTGGGAATAACTGGCACACCCAAAGAATGTCGGAGAAGGTGAACGCTCTCCCTCTTCACAGTCCCTCACATCTCTCCTTCCAATTTGTTAGTTTATCATGAAAAAGATATGTCTTTTTTAATTCAGCTTGTTTAATTGTCTTCTTGTTTGACTCCCAAGTTCCATGCCATTTCTTAGACATTAATCTAGAAATTCTTTATTGCAATTATATACTTTTATTCAACTGACTAGTTTTCCTTGCCAAAAAATCAATTTGCCATCCAACAGAACATCGAACTCCCTATTTAATTAATACTTTTATTTCTCTAATTCTTAATATTTTGTTATAAACCCCATCTGGTTGTAGCAGATATCAACTGTAATCCTCAAAGTAGACCTTCAATGCCCAATCTGCTCCAAGAAAATTAGGAAGGTACTTGGCAGGCTCCAAGGTAAACAGCTCCCATTTCCTATCAATATTTATTTTCTAGTTACCGTTAAAATAAATTGAATTTCTGCAAGATCAAGAAGACATTCAATCTGTGGTGTACAATGAAAAAGAGAACAAAGTGATCTTGTTGGGGCCATTCGATCCCAAGAAGCTTTCCAAGAAGCTCTGTTGCAAAGCTTGCAAGGTCATCAAGGATATCGAGATCAAGCAGAACAAACCAGTGCCCCCCCGCCACCACCACCACCCCGAACGCCACCAGAACAGGAACCTGAACCTGAGCATGCACCAACTCCTCCTCCGCCTGTACACGATCCTGAAACGGTGCCTGAGAAGCTGGCGCCTGATCCTCCATATCCGTGTCCGTACCCATATCCGTATCCGTACCCGTACCCGTATCCTACGGTTTGGCCGTTCATTCCTGTGTGTGGATGCCATGGCCGGTGCAACTGTATGTCTGCTGAAGAACCTCCGCCGGCGCCACCAGTACCGCCGGTGGTGCCAACATGTACCATGCCGTGCTATGATGGGTGCAGAACGTGCAAGTTCATATGCGAGGACGAAACTTCGTTCTGCTCGATCATCTGATCTACTCCGGCTTGATTTTATTTTTCAATGTCGTACTAAAACAAATGGTACAGTAAAGTCGAGGAAAGTAGGAGGCGCTGCAGAGCCGATTGGATAAATTTGGCAAAATTTTAATAAGAATATTCTATTTAAGCTTATTTCGATTGATTTAAAAATTATTAAAGTTATGAGTTAGTAAACTCATCCAAAAATAAATTAAATAATTTTAAAATTTATTACAACTGAATTAGAATATATATGCTGATGGAATGCTAAGTAGGGGTGTAAACGGGACGAACATGAGCGAGCCCAGGCTCAGCTGTTGTTCCTGTTCAGCTCGTTTATATATCGAGAGAAAAAATGTGTTCGTGTTCGACTCATTTGCTTAGCGAACCGAACATGAGCTATTCACGAACAAAGAGTCCTTTTAACTACCCTAATCATGTAGTCATAAGACAATAAGAGTTTGAACAAGATTTAAAAATTATTATAATGAGCCGAACACGAACGAACAAATTTTTGTTTGTGTTGTTTGTATTGTTCGTGTTCGATATATATATATATATATATAAAATGAGCCGAACACGAACGAACAAATTTTTATTTGTGTTGTTTGCATTGTTCGTGTTCGACTCATTAACTTAACGAACGACTCAAACACGGGCTGTTCTTGAACAATGAGCGCTCTTGACAGCCCTAATGCTATCGAGGGATTTTTCGGAGGGTGGAGAGTAGGCGGAATTAGCCCTAATGCTATCGAGGGATTTTTCGGAGGGTGGGATTTTTCGGAGGGTGGAGAGTAGGCGGAATTCTTTTGGAGGCTTAGGTGGTCCGGAGGGAATACTGCTTAATATGGGAGAGTTGAGATGGAGACCACAGAGCTACCAGAGAACAAATAGTGATCGCATTTATGCTGCCGACAATTCTCTTTTCTATCATGTGATTCGTGAAGGGTGAAGCCTCTTGCTTAGCTTTTCTTGAGATAATAAATGATAAGAATAAAGTTTTCATTTAAGAACGTTTTTCTTTTATGTTGTCCTTTGCTTTTATTATTGTCTCTCCTTTTATTTTGACATTAATTGCATTTAAATAGCAAGTGAGGACTAATGTACATTTTAAAATATTTTTACAATTTTTTTTCGTTTGCATTTATGCACTGCAAAGTGGCTTTTAAGATTATGTTGGTAATTAAGGTGTTATTTGGGAAAGTTTTCTACCTGTAGTTTTATTTGAAGAACTCTTTTCTTACTTTTTTTTAGAATTCTTTTTCGTAGAAAACAATTTTTTTTCAACCTGAACTATTAAGGTGTGATGACTATTTGAAAGTTACTGTCCGGTGATCCCGACTGTTTAAATGCAACAGTATAACAACGTCTTTGATTATATTTTTCACATATATTTCCTTACTCTACAAGAGTACAAAAAAATTGATATTGGAGAAACTAAGAATTTAACTTTTTAACTTAATATATATTGGAGTATTACGCAAGTATATGTATCGTTATCAAGTAATATAAGACTTTTTGATTAATCCCCGAATATCGAACCTACAGGAATCGATCGAACCCACAGGGAGTCTTCACAATATGTACTTTTAAATAACAAACTTTATATTTCAAAAAGACAATTACTTAAACTATAAATATTTTCACAACAGATAAAATTCAATTTTTTTTTTGGTATTGTTGATATTTTGACAAAACAATAAAAACTTCTAAAGATAACTTGACTTTATGTAAAAGAAAAACACTGAAAATGAAATATTTTTCTCTTTATCATGAATCAGTAATAAGTATAGGAATTATGTTGTGGAAGTATGCAAAATGTGTTGTGCCAAATAGGAGCAATATTAATCTTTACCCTTACTATAGGTGCTATAAAGAATATTGACTAATTTAAACTTTGAATAGTTCTAAAGACCGGCTATGCATGGAAGATACCAGCTCTCACTCTAGAGTTCCATCGATTCCCTCCACTTGGGGGCTAACATCTCGTATCAGAACCTAAAACAATAAACCAAGTTAGGGGCTTTGGTCTATCACTCAAAAGTCTTCTAACTCTACACCCTTCAAAGATTATTTCTCTATTTATTTGCACTAAATCATATGAATTACATTCTCATTCATACAATGTCACGTGATTTTTTCCAATTGTTAACTGAGACAGTACCAGTCTGGTTCTTACATGTTCTCACAATAAATTTTAACATCTATATGGGCCAAATCAAGAAGAAAATGAAGTGCATTGAATTGAATCATCACAACTTTTTTCAACATTAAAGATTAATACTCTCCACAACTTCCATCCCACACCAACACTTTAATTACTTATCATTTTAAGGAAAAATATAGAGAAAAAACTCAGAATCCATGGAGAAAACAAAACCACACTTTAGTTTAAAAATAGAAAACCACACTTTAGTTTAAAAAACTTTAGTTTAAAAATAGAAATCATTGACAAACCAACAAGAAGTCTTGATTAAAACCAAAAGTGGTTTAAAAACAAAGATAAAAAACTTCTCAAATCTTCCACTAAACGCTTGAAGTTCCTTTGAATCTCTTCTATGCTACAACACTCTTAACCCTCACAATAAACTAAAACTAAAAACAAAAAGGATAAAGCAAATTTGTGGTGCATGAAAAATCTCTCCAAAAGAACTTCTCAGGACTCCCCCCTTTTTTCTGTAAACTTCCTTCTTTTATAATTATCAAAGTGGTGCATTGGTCTCTCTTCAAAATGTGTCCTGATTCGATGCATTACACAAGGGATGCCTCCTTTCACAAGTCTTTTAACCATATTTTCGTTTCTAGTGGTCATTTTTGTTTCTAGTGGTCATAACCACCCTCTAGTGGTCATAACCAACCTCTTTTGTCAATAGGTGCCTCAAATGTCCCTTCAAAATTCGGCAAAATGAATTAAACCGTAAAATAACAGCCTCTGACACTTAAGCGCGAGACCTCTGCTGCTTAAGTGCGGCCTTATTTGTTTCACCGGCGCTTAAGCGCCAGATTTGACTTTTAGTTACTAAAACACTTTTGCAACATTTTTACATTTTTGCTCCAAATTTGATCCTTTTTCACTCCTTTTAGCATTTTTCACCGTTTTATTTATACATGAAAGAAAAACACATAAATCCCTTCCATTAAAGCGCAATATCTCAAAAATAGGTATAAAATGCGTCTAACAACACTATATATTTTAGGTGTATCAGTTTCCACCCTAGTAGTTTGATGCCAGTTAAAATTAGGGTGGTTCATCCAAGCTGGGTTGTAAAAGTTAGAATACGGGTTTTTTATGGTATTTAAAGTCTCATATGATAAGTTAGAATCATTCATATTCCCTAATGAACTTTTCTCACTTACTGAAGCTTTAGTAAAAGAGACCAACTTAAAGTTTAGAAATCTTTAATGTGAAGAATTTTGAAAATATGAGTTCCTATTTAGTTCAGAAATACTTGTAGATTTACCAAATATAGGGTTTAGGCATTCTATCTCCCCTACTTAAAATTTTTATTAAGAATAATTATACTTATTATATTATGTCCTTAAGCTTAAGAGTTTCTCAAGTCTTACACTTTAAAAGATTAGATGTGGGAGCAATTTTTTCTTAGGCGCTAATCCCTTTCTCCTCCTTTTTCAACTTTTTTTTCCTTGTCTTTTTTTTTTCTTTTTCCTTTTCCTTTTCTTTTTTCTTTTTCTTTTTCAGGCAAGGATTACTATATCTGGATAAACCTTTAATAATTTTAAATTCCACTTCTCCTTTCATAAAGTAAAGTCCTAAAATAAATCTTTTAGTTATAAATATAATAATAGTTTCAAAAATTATTTTTTATAAAAAAATTTAAGTATTAAAAATAAAGTCTAAATTTCTGAATTTTTCAAAAAAACAATTTTTCTTACTAAAGATAGTTACCCTATATTTAGCATTTTCGACACTAAAAATTTTTAATTGAAAGTTTTTCTTCATTACTAAGAATTTTAACTAAATTTTCTTACTCATTTCTATAATCAAATTTTACTTCCCTAGTATAACTTCATATGCATGATCATTTTTCTTTACAAATCAAATTCACTTGTAGCACATTTGAGAACAAATAAAATTCAAGTTTTGAAAATATTTTCATTTCCCCACAAACTTAAATTTTTACAAGATTAAATAGATTAGCAACAGATATATATAAGCTGGAATGAAAATTGAAATAACATGCTTACAAGAATTTTTATACCCTAATTATAGAAGTACACAGAAGTAAAATTAAATTTTGATCAATTTTCTATCATTTTAATTTTAATTCAACATGTAGAGATTCATTAGACTTCTAAGCAGTGGATACAGACATAAAAACAAACAAACATAATAGCTTAGATCTCAGTCTAACCATAAAAACAAGCACACTAACAGGATAAAAGAAAAATACAGGGTATCAATTTTTTGAAATTAAAGTTTAAAATTATTTAAAATTAAAGCTTAAAGTTTAAAATTAAAGCTAGCAAAATTTTCAACTTTTCAAAAGACATAGAAATAAGTTCAATCCTAACTAACTATAACACATTACTCAACATACAGCAATAATACAACAATAATTACTACTACTCAACATACAATAATAATTACTACACTAGAATTTAAAACAAAATACTAACAAAACACAAACATTACAATAACAATTAAACAAAAAACATAGTCCAAACCATAGTCCAAACAAGCACATAAACTCAAATGTATCAAGTCCAAACCACGTAGTCGATCACATATTACAAATATAAAAATAACTCAGTCCCCCTCCTCATCATCAGAATCGGCGCTATTCTAGACATCTGTAAGCATATAATCAGGGTATCTTGGATATGAAGGAAATTCCACTCCCTGGTTACCTCTAATGAGACTTTCCAAAGATGAGTGAAATTTCTCTTCATAATCACTATGCCTTCTAGCATACCCATCAATATGATCTACAAAAATTTATCACCATGAATAGTGATTTTTGGGTTTTCAAATGTACTCAAAATACATGGTGAAAATCCAAAATTTTTACATAGAAGTGAAGCTCTTCCCTTAAGAAATTCAAATCTAGCAAATTTGGCTCAAACCCATCAAGAAATCTCCA